GGGGAGAGCCCCGCTCCGCGCCGGTTTTGGGGAACGCTTCGGCCTCTAATTTGTTCACCAGCGCAAGATGCGCGGGAGAGCAAAACTGGTTTTGCTTAGAAATGAGCAAACAAACAAAAAGCCCCCATGCGTCCCCTTAAAAAAAAAAAAAAAAAAACAAAAAAAAAAAAAAAAAAACCAAACAACCCCAAACTTAAACTCGGCGGTGTGTGTCACGCCGAGGCGCCAGCCCAGCGCACCCGCCCGCGGAGCCGCCCGCGGCCGCGCATCCCGGAGCCCGCGGAGCAACGGCTCCGCTCCGCAATCTGTCACCTTTCCCCCTCCCCCCCCCCCCCCCCCCCCGCTCCGCAAAGAGCTACCAGTTGCTCTGCCCTCGCTCAATAATAATTACCCCGTCCGAGAATTAATTATAATAAATGTTTTCTTGATAAACTAACGAGATAATCCGGGCGGCACACGCTCCCTAATTACGGGCCACCGGCCCCAGCTCCGCTGATCGCCCCGGCTGATTAATGCAAAGCAGCGATCCGCGGCCGGGCGCGCAGGCTGCGCCTCTGCCCTTGGCCGCGCTGCGGGGGGACGCGGGGGGCTTGGCCGGGCCGCGGAGCAGCGCGGAGAGGCTCCCGTGGAGTGTGGGGGGAAGATGCCGAGATAGAAAAAGATTTTTGTTTTGCAAACACCGAGAGCTCGGTTCCCTGTCCACACCAGGCTCCACTGCATTTCTTAATTATTATTTCTTTTAAAATTCTAAATTCTTCCCCCCCACCACCACCTTCCGCGGGAGGGAGGGTTTGCATTGATAATTCCCAACACGCGAATTATTTACCCCCGGTACGAAGGCGACGGGGATGGTCCTACTGTTGGTTTTGCTGTGCAGGCTCCCGCGCTTCGCCCCCCAAACCTGCGCGCAGCTCCGCGGCTGCCGGCTCCTCTCCGGCGCGGCCAAACGAAAGGGGCGGCCGGGAGCGGCGGAGCCGGGCACCGACCTCCTCCACGGAGCCATCTGCCCCATCTCTGCCTCCCCACCGCCACCCAGTCGCGGGTTTTAACTGCATTTTCCATTTTTTTTTTTTTTTTTAACCGGAGTTACATCTTTTCCAAAGAAAGAAATAAAATCCTCAACTTCTCGGAGGAGCCGAAATCTAAATAAATCTCTGCAGCGAAGGAGGTTTTTAGCCCTAAAGAAACTTGGGTCGGTGCACAAGGACTTTCCCGACTTTCTCTTTGTCAACGCTGTGAAATTCAGAGGAGAGAGGCCGGGGCGCGGAGCAATGCGCGTTATACCCGATCCGTGTCTTTGGAAAGCGCTTTCCCACGGCTTTTTTTTTTTTTTTATTTAAAAAAAAAAAAACAAAACAAAAAAAAAAAAAAAAAGAGAAAAAGAAGGGGGGAGTGGAAAAACAGCTCCAGCCCTTCCTTTTCCCGACCTGGACGCGATTCTCGCCAGCCATTTCACCCACACCGAGCCGTGAAGCTCCGGCCCCAAACGGCTTGAAGGTTTTTCTCCCTGCTATTTCCAGCCCGGTTCTCCCGCCGCCGCGAGTGCTCAAAGACACCTTTGCAAAATTACTTTGCAGAGTCTCCGCATGGCTAGGAGGAGGAGGAGGAGGAGGAGGAGAAGGTCCCAGGCAGGAGCCGAGAGAGGAGAGAAATTTCTTCCCGGTTATTTCTCATTTTAAAAGTCCACCTTAGGGCCAAGGAATAACTAAAGGCCAAAGGATCAGGCCGAGGAGGGTGGAAAAAAATAAAAATCATGTACCCAACGAAATCGCGCTGAAGAACCGCGCCTGCCTGCGGAGGAGCGAGCCGGCTCCGCGCCCGCCCGCCCACGGGCGACAGCGCGGCGGCGTGGGGACGGGAGGCCGGGGGGGTTTGGCCCTTCGCCTTTTCATCCAGCAGCTCCCGGGCCCGGCCGAGGGGCCACCACCGGCCCCGGTTACCCCCGACCCGGGGCCGAGTGCCTTCTCCGGCCGGCCTGGCCTCCCACGGGGAGCCCCGCATCTCCCACGGGGAGCCGCCTGCTCCCCTCCGGCTCACCGCTCCCAATACAGTGCCCCCCGCCCCCAGCACACATACTCTTAAAAAAAAAAAAAACAAACATATATATATATATATAAATTCCCACTCCCCCTGTATTTCTGTCCGCTGAGCAACGTCCCCAAGCAAGGATGGAGCGAGCGGGTCGGACTTACCTGCGAGCCTCGCCGGAGCCGCGGGCAGGGCTGGGGGGCGAGGGGGGAACCTGCCGCCCGGGTCCTCACCAAATTCAGGGGTCGGGCTGAGCTGGGAGAGAAAGCACAAAGCGGGAGGTTAGAGAGCTCGCCGCATGCACATGCCCACGACATGGGGAAGGGGGGGGGGGGGTTGGGGAGGAGGGGGGAGAGAGGAAAAATGTTTGAAAAAGAAGAATAAATGGGGGAGAAAGGGGAGGGGACGGTGCAGGAGAGGGATGCAGGGATGCTCGGCGTCTGGGGTCGGTACATACAGAGCTGGCCGGTGCCGGAGCTGGTCAAGTGATTTTATTTTTAATAATAGTGGCAGGGTGCGTTGGAGCTGAGGTCTCTACCTCTCTCGGGGAGCTTTGCTGAGAAAGCGCCTCTCTGGCAACTTTTTGACGCAAACTCTCCAACCAATGGCAGGGAGAGAGTGATTGACACATCTAAGCCAGGGGGAAAATAATAAAAACACACAACAGGGGGAGGAAAAAACAGGCCGCTGCTGTACCGGGGGGACAATCAAGCGAGAAATAACAGCCACCGAAATGACACGAGAATGTACATTAAAAGAACCTGCTCGGTTTAAAAATATACATTATGGAGCGGAGCGTATGAAGTCATTGTACAAATTAATGTGATGGACAGCAGCGATGGCGTTAGCATATTGCCCGGGGAAGGAGAGGCAGGAGGGCAGCAAAAAGCTTGGAGGGGGGTGTGTGCGTGTGTGGTGGTGTATAATAAGAACAATAATAATAGCAACGAAAGATATTAAAATATATAAGTAAATATTTGGGAAAGGGGGGACGCGGAGCCTGCCAGGAGCCCTGGGCTGAGCAGAGCAGAGCTGGGAGAGAGGAAACCCGCGGGAGCAAAGGGGAGACCCCCCCACACACACTCGGGACAGAGGGGAGTGGGGTGCCCCCAGCCCCGGGTCCCCCCTACTGCACCCACAGAAAGGCCCGCACCCCCTGTTCCACTTCCCAGGGGCCAAATGTCCCTCAGGGTGAGGGGAATCGAGTCACCTGGGAGGGATATAAATGTTTGGGTGTTTTTGTTTTTGTTTTGTTTTTTTTTTAAGATATGTAGGGATGCTAGGATTTAGGCAGCGGCGCTGCGCTGCATTTGCAAAATAAGGACGTATTTTAATAGAAATAAAGTCGGTGCTGCAAAACGGGGTGGGGGTGAGGAGGGCCGGGAGGGACCCCCCGCCGCCGGGCAGAGCCCGGCTGGATGCACCGGGGATGGGCACCGGGAAGCGCCTCCCGCACCCCCCGTCTCCGCTCAACTTCTCCCGGGGGAAAGGAACCCGAAAATAAAGCTTTGGCAAAAAGCTGGAGGACAGAGGCGGCTTCAGGTCAGAGGGAGGGAGCGCTCACAGACTTTCCTCACTTTTGACAATAGGAAGGAAAAAAAAAAATGCAGCGGCTCGATCATTTTAATGGGGTGACCTATGTTAATGAAGTTATAGCAATTAATTCGCCTCTTTGTGGCTCTCTCTGAGCCTGGCTGCGTGCAACCCAGTGTGGTTGCCCTTGGACTTTAGCGCAATACCGAGCGCGGGCGGTTTGCAGGAGCAGGTCTGGGATGCTCGGGGCTGGGCTGGGCGGGGGGTTTGGGGGCTGGTTTGGGTTGGTTTGGTTTTGTTTTGTTTTGTTTTTTTCTTTCCTGCCAGAGAGGAGGAGGAAGGAGGGGGCAGAAGAGAAGGAGGGAGGGGAGAGGAGGGGAAATTAAACGAATAAACAAACAAACAAACAAACTAACCCCCTCGCACAAAAGCAGCCGCAGCCCTGCCCGCCGGAGCCGCTCCCACTTTGGCCGCTTTTTTTTTTTTTGATTTTTTTTTTTTTTTTTTTTTTTTTGGCGAGGAGAATTCATGGAAAGTTGGTAGCCGGGGTACCCCCAGTTGGAACCCCCCCGACACCCCCCCCTGGGGGACCTCCGGCCCCTGCACTCCTTGGAGTTGTGTTTTGTTTGTTGATTTTTTATTAGTAGTATTATTATTCCTCCCCTCCCTTCCAAGAACCGTGAGACACTTTTAGGGGACTTTTTGTGGTTTTGATTGGTTGTTAGGTTGTGGTTTGGTTTTTTTTTTTTTTTTTAGGGGGGGGTAGCAAGGGGTGGCTGCAGCCCCTCGTCCCTTTGCAGCATCCTCCCCGCCCTCGCAAACCTTGCACAGAGATCCACACCGGGCAAATCCTTCCCCTTCACCTCCCCGCATGTCGGCACGACCAGCCACCCCTCAGCCTCTCCTTTAGCAGAGCACCAGTAATAAATATCCCGATTGAACCCTTCTCCCCCCTCCCTCCTCCCTTCCCCCCCCCCCCCCCCCCAAAGCCTTTGCCATCGTCTCCCGCCCCCACATATTATTTAATAACCTTAATCCACCTTGGAAGAATGAGAGAGATAATTCGTTCCCGTGTATCCTGACCAGGAGGGTATTTTCGAAATCGATTAAAAATAAAAAGGGGAAAGGGAAAAAAAAAAAAAAAAAAAAAAAAAGGAAGAAAGGGATGTTTGGGGGCTGGAGGAAGCCGGGCTGTGGCAGAGGAGAGCTGAGCAAGGCACAGAAATAAAATTCAGTGCTGGGAGTGCAGGTTTGGAAGAGCAGCCTGCCTGCATCTGCGTGGCCGTGGGGCAGTGGGCAGGCAGAGCTGCTGCCCTGCCTGCAGCCTGCCAGAGGCAGCAGGGCCATCCCAGCCTTTCTCTCTGCCCCCCCCCCCCCCGGCCCCCACAACCCCCCCCGGCCCCAGAAGTTGGGAATAATTCCCGCGGCCAATAAAACAAGTGGCAGAGATGGACAGTGTTACTTAAATAAACAAGGGTCTCTTTAAAATTCTCATCCACTTCAGATGTCTAAAGTAAGATTGTGATGATTTTGTCACGGTTTGGTAAATTTACCCCTTTAAGAGGCTTTCATAAATCCCAGAACACACCTTCAGCCAGATTTGAATATAGATTTAGGTTTTAAAACCCAGAAGCTGGGAACACCGCTTTATCAAAGAGAATTTCCCTTTAGCTTAGCAATGTGTCGGAATGGCTCTTGCAAAGATTGGATCTGAGAGGGGGAAAAAGGGGGAACCTTCTTCCCCGGAGCAATCCTGCACACACTTCGCAGCTGCCTCTGCCTTCAGCCTTCTGCAGTTCGGGGAAAAGTTGCAAAAAAACCCCCCAGATTAATAAGAATTATTGCAGCTGTAGGAACTTGTTTTCTTTTTTTTTTTTTTTTTTTAATGATTTTTTTTTTTTTTAAAAAAAACCAAACTTTCAAATCTCTTCTGGTCCATTTGGAAAGCGTTTCAGAGCAGGTACAGTCCCAGAGAGCCAGACTAGCTGGGGCTAACGGGGAGTGAATGGAGATGTGTGATTTTCTGCCCTCTAAGAACTTTGTGCTCAGAAAACCAAAATCTGCTTCTGGGATGAAAAGAAACTGTAACTTCTGCTTCTCAGTAAGTTCTCCAACTTTCCGATGCCAATCGTGTTACAGAGCCATTTTCTCTCTCTGCATAACTGTGTTTCTTCTCTTTCTCCCTCTTTACTTCTCCTTGCTCTGATTTGATTTCCGACTCTTCTTGCTAATGCGATCGTTTCGCGAGTGGTTTTATTGCCGTGTGTATCGCTCACCGGGTTGATCGCGCTGAGCTGCTGCCCTGGTATATTATGACCAAGGGGGGGGGCAAAAAAAAAAAACAAACCAAACCAACCAACCAAAAAAACCAAAATAAAACAAAACAAACAAACAAAAAACCCCCACCCAATCCCTCAAACATTTATTCAGGTCGGGTGAAAGTTGAGCAAAAAAACCCCCAAAATGAACCGATTTATTATTTGTCATCTTTATATCTCTGATCGGCTCCGGAAAGCGATGCACGCTACGCACTTTTAAGCTTTTCCCTCATCGGATTTGTGTCTAGTTAAAATATTCCAGACTTTCCTTGAAGTTTATCTGCAATTCAATTGCGGGTTGGTGTGTTTTTGGTTTTTTTTTTTTTTTTTTTAGGTTGTATTTTTTTTTTTTTAGGTTGACAATCCCCCTCACCCCAAAATCGCCCTTTTTGGGGGTGCAAAGCCAGAGACACTGGCAAAGCTGTGTACGTCGAGAAAGGGTCGGATTCGTTTTAAAATGCCGGAATGCTAAAAAAAAAAAAAAAAAAAAAAAAAACCAAATCCCTCTGCTTTTCCAAGCGTCTGGGAGAGGGATGGTAGAGTCGTCACCTCCTTTGGAGAAGGAAAAAAAAATATATATATATATTAAGAGAGTATCTTTGCCTAGATGAAACCAAGTTTCATAATTGAGGGGGGGGGGGCGGAAGGGAAGAGGAGGGGATGGTGGAGGCATTTAGGGGTGATCTGCAATTCGCCCAGCTCATCTAGGAGCAAGAAAAGTCGTAAAAATGCTGCTCCGAGAGCAGCGAAAGTGGGGTCAGGGCTTGCACCTGAGGGAAGGTCTTATGTGCACCGGGGGGGGGGGGGGGGGATCGTATCCCCCCACCCCAAAAAAAGAAAAAAAAAAAGAAACACCTTAAATAGAGAAATACATCAACAGCATTAAATAAGTTTTTTAAAAAAAAGTCTGTGCGTGGGGGGGGGCACGCGTGGGGGCCGGTGCGGGAGGTTGGGGAAGGGGTGTGTGTCTGTGAGACTGTGTGTCCGTGCCTGTGATGATGAAAGGCGCTAATACTGCCAGTTTACATAATTTTTCTCTCCAGGCCATGAAGTTACCTTGATGAGCAGCTTTCTGCAGCAATCAGATTATAGCTCCCAACCCAGATATTAAAATAACGGTCACAGTCCCATATCTCGCGTGTTGGCAAACTTGGGAGAAATGAAGGGGTCGGGGGGAGGGGGGGAGGGAGAGAAAGAGCCAGAAAAGGGGTTTTGTAAGAAAGAAGAAAAGAAAACCGCAGAGAAGCTTTAAACTAGTCTTTCGTTTGTAACCTTTTACAACCTTTATTTCCCGTATATGAAAAGCTCCTTTTATTGAGGCCCAGAAAGAACTTTGATTTCCTCCCCCCCCCGCTTTGGATTTTTAATTAGAGCCCATCAATTGCAGCCATATATATAGGAATCGATATAAAGTAATCCGTGGAGATGGGTTAAGGTTTTAATCGAAAATCTTCTTTACCATTCTTTGCAGATCTTCTTTAGCCGCTGGCTGGTGGAGAAACAAATGTTCATTACAAAAATACCCCCCGAACCCCTCAAAGCAACCCCCCCCCCCAACAAAGCCACAATGCAGAAAGCTTGAAAAAGATCCGAAACCAACTGTTGTTACCATGTGAATAAGAAATTACCCTTTTGCTTAACTTCATTCTTCCTTATAGGCAGTTATTTTTCATATTGGAAACTTTAAAACTAGATCCGAAGACCACAGCTAATTTTTGCAAACCCCCCCCTTTTTTTTTTTTTTTTTTTTTTTATTGCATATGGGTGATGGTATTTGCCGTGGGAAGGGTCTGGCTTCTGCGCCAGCCAGTGTCTGTGTGTCCGGTAACAAAGATCCCACAAGTACAACACCGCGGTGAAACCCAGACACCGTCCTCTTGCAGCTTTTCAGGCTCACAAATATCGCACTTTCTTTTTTCCTTTTCTTTCCCCCCCACCCCCCCCCCCCCCCCGGTAGTGTTTGGGTTTTTTTCTTCTTTTCTCTCTTTTTTCTTTTCTTTCTTTTTTTTTTTTTTTTTTTTTTTATAAGTGTTTTACATTATGTAAAATTTAACTCTTTGCTTTCACGCGATGGAATATTTCTTTTCTAATGTAAAAAAAGAAAGGAGGAAAAATCCCAACTCCCTCAAAGCTCCCCCAACCTTTCTCCTTTCTAAAGAACTAGGGCTGTTTTTCTCCAGGGGAAGGAGGGGAGTGGAGGCTAAATATTAAACAATGCAGGCAGCTTCGGGTTTATTTTGGTAAATTAATTGTGAGACTATTCTGGCTCCTGTGTGTTTCTGCATGATTAAACTGTGCTATTTGTTCCCCAAAGCTGCACATTAGCAGAAAGTGCAAGTCTATTTTAAAGCATCATCCTCAGGTTTAATGTAAGCAAACTAGGCTGAGTGAAAAGTTTACCCGAGTAATTGCAGCTAAGAGTCAACTGTAGTTGTTTTAATCATTATTTTCTATCTGATAAGTGCGTTTTAAAGAATGGACCCTGCATTTTTTTAATCTGAAGGAAGCGAATCTGACCGTATTTGTACCCCAACCTCGCGTCTTATCTGTATGAAATTTCAATTTATTTAAAAGCCTGGTATTTAATACACTACATGGGCCACATTTAGTTTAGACAAACCCCCTCTTGTACTTTTTCTGTAATCACGCCTAATGAAAACGTGGGATTTTCCCATTATTAAAAAAAAAAAAAAAAAAAAAAGTGAAAATATAATGCATCTTCATTAGGAAAATTGACTGCTGTGCTCAAGACAGTTCTTAATTGAAAAGGCAACCTATTTTAATGGTGTGGTTGAGGAGAAGATTACATACTTTATCCAAACACAAAGACAATTAATAATGAGGACCAGGCTGCTGCCATTAACTCTAATGCAGTTACATCAATGTCAAGGGAAGTGCTCGTACCTGAGAGGTGATGGGGGGGTCACCCCGCGCCCCTCCGCCGCCGCCCCGGCATCGCCGCCGTCTCCCCCGCTCCACCGAGAAAACCCAGCAGCATCCTCCCCGCCGCTTTGCGCCCCCCCCCCCCGCCTTTCCCCCCGTTTCTATTATTATTATATTTTTAATTTTTTTTTTTTTTTTTTTTTTCAATGGCAGCACAACCCCAAGAAGTTGTGCGAATAGGGCTCGCCCCCGCCGCCTGGTTTAAAGGGACTTTTTAAGAGCTGCCTAATTCAGGACATTTAAGAGCATGACAATGCGGAGTGGTGGTAGCGGTTAAGCTGCAGTTTGCAAACGACTCCCTGTCCCACAGCCCAGGGAAAAGTCCTTTTCCCTCCCCCCCCACTCCCCCCCCCATTTCCAGCGCTGCCTTCGTGACGCCTTCGCTCAAGGCATTTCTTGGGGCTTTAAAAAAAAAAGCAACAAAAAATTTAAACTTTGCTCGATTTGTTGAGAAAGTGTGTTTCTGCCGAGTGTTGGCGGCTGAGGGTTTGCTCTGTATTTTTTTTTTTTTTTTTTTTCCCCTGGAAGGGCGGTTCGGTTAAGCCGCGTTCACCCGGAGCCGGGCGGTGTTTCCGCGGCTGCGGAGCGGCCCGCGGGCGGGGGGGCGCGGAGCGGTGCCGAGCGGTACGCGCCTTCCACCGACTTAAACAAAGTCCTGTTCAAACCCCTTTCCTCGGCAGTGAAGTTGATTTGACAATTACAAATAAAATAATTAAATCCAAGCAGCGCAATTTCTCTCTCCAAAAAAATTAAAACAAAACAAAACAAAAACCCCAATAACCGATTCCCCCCTCCCGCAAACAGCTTCTCCCCCCTCCCCAGCACCATCCCCGCGGGAAACTTTTCCGCGGATCTTTGTCCTGCACCGAGCGTGGAAAAGCGAAGCCGGTAAACCGAGGGGGGTGGTGGTGGGCTTCACGGTTGTTTATTATATTTCTTTTATTTTCGGAGGGGTGGGGGGAAGGATTCCCAGCCGGGGTCCCCCATCTCCTGCCGTGGTGAAGCTGGGGGGGGGGGGCGGGGGGGCGGATCTCCCCGTTCAACCACCTCCTGTAGGTGCAAATAGGTTTTTTTGGGGGTATTTTGTTGGGTTTTTGTGCGCGCCCTGCCCGTGGTTCCGCCCGCTGCTGGCACCTGGAGACAATGCGGCCGCTGGCTGCCCGGGCTTCCGCGTGTCCCCCCCACCCGTGGCGTGTTCCTCTCCCCACACCCCGTGTCCGTCCCCTCTCCCCCCCCCCCCGGCTGGCAGCACCCCGGCAGCCCCCGGGCCTAATCCCGGCTATTCCCCCGCCGGCAGTTTTTAATCTCCGCCGGGGGGGGGGGGGGGGGGGGGGGGGCGGGGAGGAGAAGGAAGGAGGCGGGGGGAGGGGGGGGGCCTGGAGGATGGACAGACAGTGCCCGGCCCCTCTGACAGACGGACAGGGCTGTGCCCAGCATCCCCCTCCCAGACAGACAGACAGACGTGGCAATGCGCGGCCTCTCCCCACAGACAGACAGATGGACAGGGCTGTGCCCAGCATCCCCCCATGGGCAGACGTGGCAGCGTGTGGCCGCTCTCCCAGACAGACAGACATGAGGGTGTCCAGCTTCCCCTCCCAGACAGACAGACATGACGACAGGACGGGCAGAGCAGTGCCCATCCGTAACTCTCAGACAGATGGACAGGTAGACCTGACGGTGGGGTGGGCAGAGCAGTGCCCACCCGTCTCTCCCAGACAGACAGACGGACAGACAGCTGCGTCCCACCAGCCCATGCAGAAGAGAGCTGCTCAGGCTGGGTCCACCCTGGTGAGCAGAGCTGGGGACGGCCCAGGTGGGGCCAGGCTAATCCCCAGGCAGACAGACAGACAGACAGACGGGGCTGTGCCCCGCTCACCCCATTAAATCCCGGGGCAGACCAGGTGGAGCGTGGCTAATCCGCGGGAGGAGGTGGCCAGGGACAGCTCCACAGAGCCACGGTTCGGACCAGAAACACCCGGCCACGTTCAACTGGTTGTTGGACAGACAGACAAAACATCACCCACTCAGGTTTCCACTGGGAAAGGTAGAGCCCACCCGGGTCCCGCAGGCAGAGGGGCGTTAATGGATCCGTGGCCATAGCAGCGGGGTTTTTTTTTTTACCTGTGGAAAAAAAAAAAAATAACGTCGTAATTTTCTACCCGGTACGGGCAGGGAGAGGCAGAGCGGTGGGGTCCAAGCTGGCTGTGGCCTTTCGGAACTACCCTAACATCCGCAATCAGAGATAAAAAGAAAGTTCCTGCTGGTTCCCTTCCAGACAAATGAGCCTGGCCCGGTCTCTTTGCTCTTTAGCAGCATCTGCCCACCCTCTGCACCTGATTCCTTCCAGGAGCCTTTCATCTCCCTCCCCTGCCTGCTCCCAGGGCCCCAGCTGATCTGCCCGTGGGCTTAATGGTACGGGAGGATGCGGGTCCCCTGGGATGTCACTGTGCCCACCTCCTCCTCCTCCTCCTCCTCCTCCTCCTCATCCCCGCTCCTCCTGCAGCTCCCCCTCTCCCGCGCCCACTCAGATGGCTGCTTGCGAAGGGAATTTTGACGGGGAGAGAGGAGTTTCTGGAGCTTTCATTTTCCTGTCCGGAGACAGCTGTGCTGGGGACTGGCTCCTTATTTCTCTAAAGTCTGCCCCTGCGAGGGGGACGTTAATGATAAGCTGGTTTATGCCTGGATCTAAGAAGCAGGGACTTGAGCAAGACATGGCAGGATTTTCTGTGGAAGTGTGCCTGCCTTCTATGTTTATTTTCACACTGATGGTGTAGGTAAATCTGATATCAACAGGTTGCTGAGAAGAAAAAAACCCTCTCCTTTCATGTGCAGTCACTGATAAACACTGCAATGAGGTCCTTCGGAGGGAGGTTTCTTGGGAAAATAAATGCCTTTTTGGGTGGATTTTTTGTCATTTCTTAGCCGTGTCCTGTCCCCACGCTATGCTGTGGCACAGGGTTCAAATCCGTTGCCTCAATGTGGTTGTCAGGAGCATCCAAGATGCTCTGGAGTCCCTAAAACACCCACTCAGCACTGGTGGGTCTGGCTGAGGACTTGCAGGAAATTTGTGTCCCCCCCTGGCTTAGCAGCTGGAGGCCAGCTGGGAGACCCCAGGACATCTCACGTGACACTGGGCACCCGAATTTAGGCAACAAAGCCACATTTACAGTCTGAGCTGCTCTAACCTGTGACGGTCAGTTCTTCAGCTCCTTCCTGGTGCAAGGTGACGCCTCCATAAAAGCTTTTTGCATCCACAGCTGAAATGCACCAGTCCTTAAATAACACAACCCTGCCCATATATATATATATTTCCCGTGCTCACTGCTGCCATTTCTTGGTGCTTTGTTTGGGTGGACCAGGGATGTGGCTGCCTCAGTTGATGTGGCATCTTGATTGACATGGCGACACTGAACGCCAAGAGGGGTCTGAGTTCAGGAGGCACCAAAGAACCTTATTAGTGAGTGCAGAATCCTTCCGAGGTGTCTTATTTTGGCCACCCGATGCACATTCTTGCTTTTTTTTTTTGTGTCTGCTTAGGGAGTATTTTGTGCTGAGCCTACGGATGAGGCCTGGAGAATACCCTCCAAGCCCTGAAGTTCTTTTCCTATGTCTAAAGCCAGAGCCAGCAGGATGAGGTGCAGATAAGATCATAGATAAAATATGCTGGTAGTCTGTTTGAAGCTTGCTGTGGCAAGGGTGGGTGAGAGCAGGGCTGGCTGCGGGTGTTCATTTGAGGAAGAGAGCCATGCCCAGTGCTCTGGTTTGGCTCTGCTCTGGCTCTCTGGGCAGCGCTGGCACCAGGGCTGGTGCAAAGGCAATGGTCTGTTGGGGAGGAGAAAGGGCAGAAACTGGCTCTTCAGCCCTGCCTGGGGCCGGGAGGAGGAGGATGGAGCCGTGGGGGTGATGGCTGCGGTGCTCCCAAGTCCTGTGTGCGGGGACAGTCCTTGGGGCTGGTGCGTGGGCCCGTGTAGGTGAGGGAAGATGGAGTTGGGTGGGCCAGGAATGTCCAGCCAGGATTTACTGTGCCACACGTCTCTTCCTTGCATTGCTTTTGAGGAGAAGGAGAGTACATATTTTATTTTCATCAGTTCATGCTATTGTCTTTAGTGGAAGGTAGGAAATCGGTGACTTCAGCCCCATTTTGGTTCTTGTAATATTTTGCTTTTAGCCCCAGCATTTTTTTTTTTTCTTTTATCATACTTCGCTTTTGGATTACCTGTAGGATTTTGGACTACTGCTATAGGATTTCTACCTGAGCACGGAGCTGGAAGGAGGTTTCTATAGCTCCATATTTAGGGCATTTGCTGTGGTTTAGTCTATACAGTCCATAAACCTGCATGTTTGATAACTGATGAGAAATTCAGAACAAGTTGCAGCATGTCTTTAGTCTATGTAGTGCAGCCAGTCACAGGCTATGTGAACAATTTAAATGTTTTATTGAAATGCAACTTCCTAACATTTTTTGACGTAAGCATTATCGAGAAATGCACATAATCGTATAATAGTATAATTGCCTAACTCCCCTTAACTTACTGCACTTCTTTATTAAAGAAGCACTATAAAAGGAAGAAGGCCAATTCCTTTCACATAACTAAGGATTTTAAAACAAGAGTACATTTTTTAATAAAATACTTTATTTTCATGATTTTGTCTTGTATTGTAGATAGTTTCAGCCTCTGTGCTTGGATTAATTGTTACAGAAGCTATTATATAAAGCCTATTATCAAAAAAAAGAACTCATATAAACACCACTGGCTGTATTTTACCTTGCACTTGTCATACAAAAATGCTTTCCAGTGTGAGATGTATAAATTATTATTGATGAAACACAGGACTTTTAACACTCCAGGTTTTTCACATGCACTAAGATCACAAATCCAAGTCCATTTACTAAAGTAAATAGAGTGCAAGCTGTTTCTCAGGCAGAAAAGTTAATTTTGCAGTCCAAGTGGGCCTTCATTTCAAGGAAAAATATTTCTGAGAGAAATGGGTCTCTATGCTCCCACAAAGATGGTTTTCATATTGCAGCGCTGAGCCTTGGAAGTTTGTACATTTCTGCTTCAAACATGGCCATTTTGTCAAACTTGTGCATAACTCAAAAACTTGAAGGAAAAATCAGCCGGGAATGAAAATAGCAAAATGATTTTGAGAAATGCGGTTGGGGACCTCAGAAAAATGTAGACAGGTTTGTTATGGGTTGTAAAAAAAAAAAGGCTGACCAATTATTGGGTATTTATGGATGAACTGATAACAGAACTTCATGCTGAATGAAACTTTAATTATTACTCTGTATATTACTAAAAACTGTATTTATTATTAGTTGTGAAATGAATCTAGCATTTGAATGCCTTACCAGTGCTAATGAATTCATCCA